AAACGCCTCAATAACACTGTGACAGAGCTATCAGAACCTGCGCAGCAACCCACCCTGAGCATTTCTACACCACCGGGAACCGAAAATGGACAATCATGGAGTCGACTTCAATAAAGACGAAGGTAGGAGAGACGCCAGAGTACCATACCGGTACACGGCAATATAATTAACACACTTCCCAGAACACTCATTTGCATACGACAATCGAAGGAGAGAAGGCAGATGAGGAGTCATAGATGCAGCTGTTCCCTTGCACTGATACTCGCAGAGTCTCCTGTGGGGTTAGTGAGGGCGCTTCACACCACACACACACACACACACACACACACACACACACACACACACACACGAAGGGGTAATAGATGCTGCATTGAGGTTAAACGTCAGGTGTGATAATAATCAATAGGGGAAAAGGAAGCAGAGTTACTGAAAGTGTTTTCTAATGACGCTCCACCTTAAGGTGTATCATGTAAAACATCTACACTCACACACTCACACACACACACTCACACACACACACACACTCACACACACACACACACTCACACACTCACACACACACACTCACACACTCACACACACACACTCACACACTCACACACACACACACACACTCACACACACTCACACACACTCACACACACACACACACTCACACACTCACACACACTCACACACACACTCACACACACACACTCACACACACACACTCACACACACACACACACACACTTCTTATAATTAGAAAGAACTTTTTTTAGTGTCAGAGTGGTTGACAAATGGAATGCATTAGGAAGTGATGTGGTGGAGGCTGACTCCATACACAGTTTCAAGTGTAGATATGATAGAGCCCAATAGGCTCAGGAACCTGTACACCTGTTGATTGACGGTTGAGAGGCGGGACCAAAGAGCCAGAGCTCTACCCCCGCAAGCACAATTAGGTGAGTACAATTAGGTGAGTACACACACACACACATACAGATGACCGATCCAGCAAGTACAACTCTGAGAGTACCCACACACACACACACACACAGATGACCGATCCTGCAAGCACAACTCTGAGAGTACCCACACACACACACACACACAGATGACCGATCCTGCAAGCACAACTCTGAGAGTACCCACACACACATACACACACAGATGACCGATCCAGCAAGCACAACTCTGAGAGTACCCACACACATACACACACAGATGACCGATCCAGCAAGCACAACTCTGAGAGTACCCACACACATACACATACAGATGACCGATCCAGCAAGCACAACTCTGAGAGTACACACACACACACACACTCTTGAACCTAACCATTTAAAAATGTACCAAACGCAGCCACAATAAAAAAACAAATAAATTCCAGAAAATCAGCCATTTCCCAGTGAACAGGTCTGCCGCATTCTGATTACCTTCATATAACCCAATATTTTTAGTTTTAGTTTTTCTTAGCCCCTAGTATCGGTGAGCCTTTTATAACTTGCTTTGTTCATATTGTTATTCTAGTCGAGGTGGCAGGGGGGGCTTTAGAAGGTAAGGAAAGGTAAGAAAGTTAAGGTAAGACAGTCTCCCTTACCTCATAGCCTTCCCTAAACTCTTCCCTTCCCCTTTCCACCGCTCGGCGAGCAGCAATGTTCGGGGCATAATAATGACGTTCCTCTGCAACTTTCAGGTTGAGGGAATATGTAAAGGGGAGTGTATTTAAGAGTTTGATAACGTCAGGGAGTGTATCTAAGAATCTGGTAACGTCAGGGAGTGTATCTAAGAATCTGGTAACGTCAGGGAGTGTATCTAAGAGTCTGGTAACGTCAGGGAGTGTATCTAAGAGTCTGGTAACGTCAGGGAGTGTATCTAAGAGTCTGGTAACGTCAAGGAGTGTATCTAAGAGCCTGGTAACGTCTGGGAGTGTATCTAAGAGTCTGGTAACGTCAGGGAGTGTATCTAAGAGTCTGATAACGTCAGGGAGTGTATCTAGGAGTCTGGTAACGTCAGGGAGTGTATCTAAGAGTCTGGTAACGTCAGGGGAGTGTATCTAAAAGTCTGATAACGTCAGAGAGTGTTCCTGAAACACATTGGCTTTCCTAAGACACTTGTCTAGCTCTTGTTATGATCGCCTGCGTGATGTGCAAGTCTTCCTTCCTCATATTCCTCTTCCTTCATTCCTTCCTTCCTCATGTTATAGGAGCTGCCTCGTATGGGCCAATAGACCTTCTGCAGTTACCTTGTTCTTAGGTTCTTATGTTCTTATATATGTTCGCAAGGGAGCAAACTTTAGCTCCTCGTGTTGCTGCTCTCTGATTCCTGCCATCAGTGGACGCAACACACAACCCTCCCTGCACATACACCATGAAAACATACGACCAGAGCAACCGAACCTGTTCTAGCATTAAGTCACAAACCTAAACCCCTTGTATAACTAAACCCCAGCGTAAGTAAACCTAAGCATAATGAACCTTTTATTAAACCTACACATTAACTCCGGTTTTTTCGCATCTACTCGAGGAGTCCCTCTGTCTGTTTACAAAGTAAATCAAGAGAAATATTGTCTAAACGTTAAGTCTGTGTGTGTTTACTAGTTGTGTTTACTAGTTGTGTTTTTACGGGGGTTGAGCTTTGCTCTTTCGGCCCGCCTCTCAACTGTCAATCAACTGTTTACTAACTACTTTTTTTCTTTTTTTTCCACACCACACATACACACACTTCTCAGGAAGCCGCCCGTGACAGCTGACTAACTCCCAGGTACCTGTTTACTGCTAGGTAACAGGGGCATTCAGGGTGAAAGAAACTTTGCCCATTTGTTTCTGCCTCGTGCGGGAATCGAACCAGCGCCACAGAATTACGAGTCCTGCACGCTATCCACCAGGCTACGAGGCCCCATGTGTGTGTGTGGGGGGGGGGGGAGGGGAAGAAGGGGTTTTCATGCCATTGCTGCATGCTCAAGAGGTTATATTTAGAATGTATATGGGATTCAGATGTTTGTATTTCGGTGTTACTCTCGGTTTTCAAAGAATTTTTTGTGGTGACGAGATTTTCACCCCCGTATTGTCTTGATGCAAGTAAGAGAAAGTCACACACACACAATCGACTTGAGAATGGTCCAGGACGGACCGAAACGTCGTCTTCCCTTCACTTTCTAGCGTGTGGTCTGGTCAACATAAGAGAAAATCGTTTGTTTCACCAGGTCTCTTCAGCTCGAGTATGTGCTTGAGTCATGAGCTTGACTGGTCATAACTCAAGCTTGACTGGTCATGACTCAAGCTTGACTGGTCATGACTTGCATTGGTATGTGCCATAAGTCATGAGCTTATCAGTAGGAGGGCTTGAGCCCACCTACTGATAAGGTTCACATATTTCTCTCTTTTGTAGTTATTTCTCTGGCTCCTGCTTTCAAGAATTTGTAAAATATTTCTTTCTCTTTATGTATTTACAAGAAAAGAGTAATTTTTTCCTTCACTTAGCAGAGAAGAGAGGAGTATTTGACTTACATTTAGTACAGAACAGGGTGGTGTTTGGCCTATATATAGAGGAAAAGTGTTTTACAATCATTTAGAAGAGAAAAAGGCGGCGTTTTACTTTCATTTATCGCAGAAAAGGATGGTGTTTTACGCCTCATTTTATCTAGCCAGAACCTCAATGTCTCACTAACATAATTAGTTAATAACGCCACCCTTTCTTTCTGCTGATAAAACTCCATCGACCTGCTGCGAGATACCTTCTTCAAAACCAAATTCTCCCTCTTCTCTGTCGCTGACATATTGTTACGGAGGTGAACAAGAGAGGTGGCATAGCGTTCAACATTATGAGTGTGACATAGCCAAAGTGTGGTATAACCTCTCGTCACTCCCAAGCATTAAATCATAACCAAATCTTGGAGTGAATTCAGAGAGTAAATATTCTCCCGTCGACGATTTTCCATGCTTCAGTTTATACAAGAACTTTTAAACTAACGCAGAGACGGCTGTGCTAAGAGGATAAAATTACACACATCAGAAAGAAAGAAATCTAGTCCATTTCAACATTTAGGATAATTTCGACTCCGACGTGAATACTTAGCGACTCCGAGCACTCCCCCCCTAAAAAATCACACGAAACTCGTATAATCTTCCGTCTCGTTTAGACATCTTTAAATAGCATCAAACGACAGGTGTGTTAATCACCCTCTTCCTCCACTCTCGTGGACACACACCGTAGGGATGAACTACATCCTCCGTCCCTAACTGGATACCGGAGCGATCAAGCCAATTTAGACTTAAAGACCTCACAGCTGTACACTTGTTAATCAATATATGAACCTACATCGTACGCAATAGAACATAGATCATACGTAATAGAACATAGCTCATGCGTAATAGAACATAGATCGTGCGCAATAGAACGTAGATTGTGTGTGTTCGTGCTATCACGCACGAACGAGCATAATTTTCATATACACGCACATACAGTAAGTACACTTACATACGCACGTGTACTGACCTTACATATATCTGCATGTTACGATCTCCATGTGCTGGACCCTTAACTATGAATGACACCGCCCCTTTGTGTAATGTTTATGTTAGAACCTTTGTATAGGGTTCCCTCTCCTGCTTCCTGTCCCTGGATAGGCCTCTCTTCCTTTTCCTCTTCCGGAGAGAGAGAGAGAGAGAGAGAGAGAGAGAGAGAGAGAGAGAGAGAGAGATCTGTCACATAGAACAATACAGTAAGCGAATATGTAACAGAGATTATTACCTGGCTACTCTTTATTGATCTGGTAACCTGATTCTTACCTTTACTGACTTGTAATGTGACTCACATCGCGGTCATCACCCAAGATCAAACCAGATTACCAGATCACATTTATTGAACAGGTATAAGCATCATTTTTTGACCAGGTAATCTGACGCTCAGCTTTATTGACCAGGTGATCTGACTCTCAATTTTATTGATATTTGTATACTTATATTTATCCATCCTCTGTCTCTTTATATTATATATTAAATGTAGCTTTCTTTCAGGGCTTGGCTGTCCCAGCCTGGGTGATGCTGGTTGTCCTGCCAGGTAAGTTGAACGTTGTTTCAACAACTTTTCACGATTTGACACGTGTATAATTCCATGTTGTTTGGTCTAACCAGAAGCATACGAACCTCGGTATCCCTCCTACCCAGATCTATAATTTCTCTATCATTTTCGTCTGTGAGCGTGACCGTCTGAAATTTTACGCTATGTCTCTATTTCACTCGCGTGTTTCTGTCTTGTGTCCTAGTGTTGCTACGGCCAGAATTGTGACTTCACCATACTTGATATGAAACACAAATGAAGAATTAATACCTAGAATTGTGGCTTTAAGACACTTTTTTTGAGGCATTTTAAGGCACTTTGAGGTACTTTGAGGTACTTTGTGGCACTTTGAGGCACTTTGAGGCACTTTGAGGCACCTTTAGGCACTTTAAGGCACTTTGAGGCACTTTAAGGCACTTTGAGGCCCTTTGAGGCACTTTGATGCACTTTGAGGCCCTTTGAGGCACTTAAGGGACTTTAAGATGAAAACAAAGTAGAGGCATCAACGTGATCAAGTTTTGCAGTGCGCATAATTGCTGCTTCACGACCACTGCCTCAAGGCACCAAAGAAGCACCGAGGCAGCATCTTGGTGTGTCCGCTGTTGCCTCCACTAGTGCAATAAGACGAAGCACAAGATGAACTAGCGGACAAAAACGGCCGTAGAAGGAGGCAATAAGCCGTCGAAGACAAGCGATGAAGAAGGAACTTAAATTCCCTCCATGATATCAAGACTCGTTATATTCTTTCCTTATTGCAATTTTTTGTTCTTATTTCTTTGCTTAATTTAAATTCTCTTGCTCCAATTGTTGACCAGACCACACACTAGAAGGTGAAGGGACGACGACGTTTCGGTCCGTCCTGGACCATTCTCAAGTCGATTGTCTGAGAATGTCTCACAATCGACTTGAGAATGGTCCAGGACGGACTTGAAACGTCGTCGTCCCTTCACCTTCTAGTGTGTGGTCTGGTCAACATACTTTAGCCTCGTTATTGTGACTCATCGCCTTGCTTCCAATCGACCACTTACGAAGTCAAATTTATTTTATTGTAATTATGTTTTTATCATTATTGTTACTGATATTTTTTTCTGAATATTCATAGTGAGGTTAGTGCACAAAAAAATCACATTAACGTGATGAATGAATGAGGAAATCAAAGAGTGCCATGAAGAGGGTTCGAACCTGCACACCGGGGTACTCATACGTACACGCCTTAAACCACTTAGCCACGATCTGCTACAAACGTTATGAAACTTAGAATTCCACTGTATGCTCTAGGATTCCTGAAGCATCTTCTGGTCCCAAATCAGGGTTTTTTCACGTTACCCGCATACACTATATACTACACCACAGCCAGAGTGTAAGCTGGATATGTGTAAAACGCTAATTGGGGATCAGAAGATGCCTCAGGAAACCTACAGGATTCAGTTCAATTCCAGATTACATTACTTTTGTAGCATATCGTGGCCTAGTGGTTAATGGTATGTGCTTGTGAGTAACCGGTGTGCAGGTTAGATATTTTCCTCATGATCCCTACTGATTTCCTCATTTTTACAATTATTATTATTATTTTAATTATTATATACACATTTCGCAGCAAAGCCTCACTCTAAAACAAGCAGCTCTCTCTGACTTTTGATATGAAATTACTTCATAATATATCTCAATCTAAATTGGCATTCACGAAGAATAATAATTAATGATACATGATTCTGACAATCATGAACTAATTCATATAGCATAAGAGCTATATTATTATATTAAAATTGTTGTTTTATTTGTCCATGAGCTGTAGGAATATCTCAGGGATGTTGTAAGGCTGGTTAAACAAAAATGTAGATACTCGTGGCAATATCTGCTTAAGCGAATACATGATAGCATAAACATTTAGTATTCAGTGACGATAAGCTTAACTTTATTATTAAGTTCTATTGAATCAAATTAAAGTAATGTACTAGTTACTGTGATAATTATGGCCAATAAGGAGGCATATATAAACCTGTAAGCGCTTCCATCCCTTCTCCATCATTACTGCATCTCTCCATCCCCATTACTGCATCTCTCCATCCCCATTACTGCATCTCTCCATCCCCATTACTGCATCTCTCCATCCCCATTACTGCATCTCTCCATCCCCATTACTGCATCTCTCCATCCCCATTACTGCATCTCTCCATCCCCATTACCAGCATCCACCCGATTCCCCATGAATCCAACTCCCTGCTCCCATACAAACCCTCTACATCCCTATTACCCTCTTCTTATCACTCCCTCTCCTACCTGATTCCTCCCTCCCCTACACCCAAACCCCATCTTCGTCAACCCAAATCCACCCTACTCCCCCTACAAAGGATTAAATACCAGCAGAAAACAAAAGCTAAATAATATGAGTAGCAAGTAAGGGAATGAGATAATTAGAATAATAATCTTATTGTCGGAAATAAACCAGAAATTATTCAAATTGCAAGAGAAATTATCATACATGTTATTGCAAATTTACGAGGATTTAATACATAATTGGTTTAATTTACGACAAAGCCATTATGAACATTTTTAGTGAATGGTTAAGGAATCTACAGTTTACATTAAAGAATGGAAGGACATATTTACACATATTTAATGTGATAAGATATATGAAAAACAGACGAGGAACAAGAACGTGTTAGAAGAATATACATCTAGCAAAGCCGTTTTAAACGAAAGATTTGTAAAGTAATATAACAGCAAGAAAGGGAGTGAGAGACAGAGAAAGAGAGAGAAAGATACAGAGAGGAGAGGCAATACGAAGACATGTTCCCAGGTGTAAACTGAGGTCGAAACCCTGGGAATCAATTCAGATTTTTACAAATATTATATAGACCCCCAGAAAATGCATCTTGACATAGAATATGTTGGTGACGGTAATCGACTCTGGCGCAGAAATCCCCTTTCAATCCGTTTTTCAGGTAACTTAGATTTAACTTTGAGACAAAGTTTCAGTCACGCTGTTAAGCTTGTGGGTTAAGACGACTAAAGACAGAGGCTTAAATAACCACACTTGGTGCTATGTTGTGTTAAGTGTTTCGTCGGGAAAATTGAATGCTGTGACTTCTTTTGGGGTTCATGCAATAGATAAACACTTCTTTAATTACGAAGATGTTCTTTATCTCCGAATTGGGATGCTTTCATTCTCGTAAGCTAAACATGTAGAAACATTCTTAGAATGGGAAACTAAGATCAATGCACAAGGAAATCATTGTAGTGATGTATATGGTAAAATGTTGGGAGAGTTAGAGGCTAAGTCCTCTAACTAACTCTAACTAAGGCTAAGGTCTGAGGCTCCTAGGACACTGGGAGATCCCTGCTCTGGTCTAAGGATTTGTTCAACAAAGATAAAGATTAATTAGATCTTTTCCACTGTGAGCGCTACGTTCAAAACTTTCCATTGCTCTGAAACTAATTATTACTTGCACAATAAAGTTCATAATTACTTTGCCCTTAGAAAAATCTTTAACCTAAGCATACTTAACTAGAACGATATAACCCAAAAAACACTGGGTATATAATATCTAATTAACTCCCTTTATACAAACTAAGAAAATATTGCATTTTCAAACACCGGCTTCAGTAATATGACAAACGCTAAACCCCTTTTGACACTTTTTCTTAAACCTCCTTAATACAGAAAATATTACATTGTGACATTTTTTTCTCAAATCGTGCTTAATGGCTGTAGTAAGTTTGCATTTTCTCAATCACATGGAAGAGGTGGAAGGGGAATATTCGATGATCCTGTGTGGATTACTTTGTGATGACAGCGTTACAAAGGTGCTTAGTCAGGGAGATAGTGAACTCTAATTCAATGATTTAGTGTCGTTGTGTCTAGAGGCAAATTTCCTGTATATGCTTGGTCGTATTTTGTGTGTACGTATTTTTCAACACTCCAAAGCATTATCTCCGCTTACTTATAAGGCAAAGAGAACGAGATCACCGCCAGAGACGTACAAATTTCTCACCGAAGGCATATTTCTACTTCCTACAACCTGTGTTATAAATTAAAAAGTGAAACTTCGAAACGCGAGGTGTTATAACAAGGCGATAAAGCAGACACATGAACGCCAGGACGCAAGAGCAGCCAAAGAGGAAGAAAAAACACCTTTCTCTTATATGTTTCACATCTCGGGAGAACTAGTACTGTTAACGGCTTATTGAGCAACGGGTAAAAAATAAGAAATATGTGAAAATGTATTGTGACTTTTTTTATGAGGGGTTTTCCTCGCAAATTTCGAAGATTTATCAACCTGGGCACTCAATGGAAAAAATATATATAGCCTTCAAGGTACGGACCATTGGAATTTACGAGCAATAACTCTGGGTATTGATTCCTCGTTGGATTTCTTCGTTGACTGACTATATAGCCATAAACCATATTTAACTTGAGAAGCCAACACCATCACGAACATTAATATACCCTACTACTTACTGCACTACTACTACTACCGCCACTACTACCACCAGTACCATTGCCAGTTCCACTACCACTACCATTGCTTTCTCAATTAGTAACACTGTAATATGCTAAACTCGCAAGATAGTGATCAATCCATTAACATTAAGACAGTTCCATCTCTCAGTTTGTGTATAAGACTTTTGTCTATCGTGTCTAACCACTTGGATTGACGGTACACCGATGATCTTGCTTCATGCAGATCGGCGTTCAATCCCCGATTATACAAGTGGCTGGGCACCATTCCTTTCCTCCGTCCCATCCCAAATTTTTCTCTTAATATCCTATCCTAGTGTAATAGTCGTAATGGCTTAGCGTTTTCCCCTGATAATTAATTACTTAGTTCACCATGGTCCTGTCGGTAGTGTGGCTGAGAAGTTCATGGAACGGGGGGTTCGATTCCATGGTATGAATCTCTGGAGTGGTACTGAGGTCCTCAACAGGACCTTGGTACCACTCCGAGGACCACTCCACAGGACCAAACTAAAGTAACCAAACTATATTCACCAAGAAG